TACGTCATATGGCATTTACACATTGTCGTTTACGTGTTGTTATTTACGTTTTATCAACGTCGCTGAGTGAAAGGCGTCCACCCCCTATAGCCGTGTACACATTGTCCTATGGCGTGTACGCATTGTCCTATGGCGTGTACGCATTGTCCTATGGCGTGTACGCATTGTCCTATGGCGTGTACGCATTGTCCTATGGCGTTTACACACTGACGTTTATGCGGTGTCGTTTACACACTGTCGTTTACGCATTGTCTTATACGCATTGTCTTATGACATTTACACATTGTCCTACGATGTGTACGTATTTTCCTATGGCATGTACGCATTGTCACCCTACGCATTGTTGCCCTACACATCGTTGCCCTACGCATTGTTTCCCTACGCATTGTTCCTACGCATTGTTGCCCCTACGCATTGTCACCCTACGCATCATTGCCCGACGCATTGTCGCCCTACACCTTCTCGCCCTACGCATTGTTGCCCTACGCATTGTTACGCCTTCTCGCCCTACGCATTGTTGCCCTACGCATCGTTGCCCTACGCATCGTTGCCCTACACATCGTTGCCCTACGCATTGTTATCCAGCATATTATTCAATAACGCATCGTCACCCAAAAACACATTATTTCCCTACGCATTGTTCTTACGCATTGTTCTTACGCATTGTTTTCCTACGCATCGTTCTTACGCATTGTTGGTTCGTACGCATTATCGCCCTACACATTATAACCCAATGCATCGTCGCCCTACGCCTTCTCGCCCTACGCATTGTTGCATTACGCATTGTTACGTCTTCTCGCCCTACGCATTGTTGCCCTACGCATTGTTATCCAACATATTATTCAATAACGCATCGTCACCCAAAAACACATTATTTACCTACGCATTGTTCTTACGCATTGTTCTTACGCATTGTCGGTTCGTACGCATTGTCGCCCTACGCATCGTTGCCCTGCACATTCTCACCCTACGCCTTCTCGCCCTACGCATCGTCACCCTACGCATTATTACGCCTTCTCGCCCTACGCATTGTTGCCCTACGCATTGTTGCCCTACGCATCGTTGCCCTACGCATTGTTTCCCTACACATCGCTGCCCTACGCATTGTTTCCCTACGCATTGTTGCCCTACACATCGCTGCCCTACGCATTGTTTCCCTACGCATTGTTCCTACGCATCGTCGCCCTACGCATTGTTATTCAACGTATTCTTCCATAACGCAGACAGTGTTAGACGCATTGTGTTCGACGCATTGTCTTATGACATTTACGCATTGTCCTACGACATGTACGTATTGTAGTATGGCATGGACGCTCTTTTGGCGTCACACCATGCCGTACTGTACGACAAGGTGAGATGGTGAAACTGAGACGCTGCCAGAGCGGCTCAGCAAAGCTGGAACGCTGAGGGGGTGGTGAGGGGGGTGGGGAGAATGGAGGGGGGTGGCAGAGCGTGTCATAACCCACCGCAGGTCTGGTCACCAAAAGCACGCCGGATGCACACCGGCGACCTCCAACAATTACAGAGAAGATGTAGAATTGATGACACTCAAAACCGTCGCAGATAATTGGTCAGCGACAGCAGCCAGGCAGTTAACGACACTGAAAGACCCGTGGGTGAATATAGTGTGGTAACATCGCATCAGAAAAGATTACATACCGCAGACAGACAACCGTGTACTGTTTACCTACGCATTGTTCTTACGCATTGTTGGCCCTACGCATCGTCGCCCTACGCATCATTGCCCAACGCATCGTCGCCCTACGCCTTCTCGCCCTACGCATTGTTGCCCTACGCATTGTTACGCCTTCTCGCCCTACGCATCGTTGCCCTACGCATTGTTATCCAGCATATTATTCAACGCATCGTCACCCAAAAACACATTATTTCCCTACGCATTGTTCTTACGCATTGTTCTTACGCATTGTTTTCCTACGCATCGTTCTTACGCATTGTTGGTTCGTACGCATTATCGCCCTACACATTATAACCCAATGCATCGTCGCCCTACGCCTTCTCGCCCTACGCATTGTTGCATTACGCATTGTTACGTCTTCTCGCCCTACGCATTGTTGCCCAACGCATCGTTGCCCTACGCATCGTTGCCCTACGCATTGTTATCCAACATATTATTCAATAACGCATCGTCACCCAAAAACACATTATTTACCTACGCATTGTTCTTACGCATTGTTCTTACGCATTGTTCTTACGCATTGTTGGTTCGTACGCATTGTCACCCTACGCATCGTTGCCCAGCACATTCTCACCCTACGCCTTCTCGCCCTACGCATTGTCACCCTACGCATTATTACGCCTTCTCGCCCTACGCATTGTTGCCCTACGCATTGTTGACCTACACATTGTTCCTACGCATCGAAGCCCTACGCATTGTTATCCAACGTATTCTTCCATAACGCATTGTTACCCAAAAACGCATTGTTTTCCTACGCATTGTTCTTACGCACTGTTGCCCCTATGCATTGTCGCCCTACGCATTGTTGCCCAACGCATTATTGCCATACGCCTTCTCGCCCTACGCATTGTTGCCCTACTCATTGTTACGCCTTCTTGTCCTACGCATTGTTGCCCTACGTATCGTTGCCCAATGCATCGTCGCCCTACGCCTTCTCGCCCTACGCATTGTTGCCCTACGCATTGTTACGCCTTCTCGCCCTACGCATTATTGCCATACGCATCGTTGCCCTACGCATTGTTTCCCTACGCATTGTTTCCCTACGCATTGTTTCCCTACGCATTGTTTCCCTACACATTGTTCCAACACATCGTCGCCCTACGCATTGTTATCCAACGTATTCTTCTATAACGCATTGTTACCCTACGCATTACTGCCCTACGCATTGTTGCCCTACGGATTGTTGCCCAGCGCATTCTTGTGTTGGTTGTGGCATGCTGTACAGATGTACGGTAATGTACGGACAGTGTTAGACGCATCCCAGTTGTCGTGGTGAGGGGGGAGATGGTGCCAGGAGTCACAAGGAGGGTTGGGATGACGTGTAGGTGACGAGGGGAGAAGAGGGGAAGGAGGGAGGTGGGAGGCCGTGTCGAAACCCAAGCCGTACTGTACTGCCAGTTGTTGTGGCCAGGGGGGGATGGTGCCAGGAATCACAAGAAGGGCTGGGGTGACGTGTAGGCGACGAGGGGAGAAGAGGGGGAGGAGGGGGGTGGGAGAGCGTGTCGAAACCCAAGCCGTACTGTACTGCCAGTTGTTGTGGCGAGGGGGGGATGGTGCCAGGAATCACAAGGAGGGCTGGGGTGACGTATAGGCGACGAGGGGAGAAGGGGGGGAGGAGGGGGGTGGGAGGTCGTGTCAAAACACATGCCGTACAGATGCCGTACAAGTGTACGACAGCCGCCGTACACTGCCGTACAGCCGCCGTACACTGCCGTACAGTTGTCGTACACTGCCGTACATGTCGTACACGTACACCACATGACGTCTTGCCACACAGTACGGCACAATTGCCGTACAGTTTGCTGCCGTACAGTGTGTTGTCGTACTCGAGATCTCTCAGAACACTATCCCCACAGGCCCAGGCATCATCTCCAAGGGTGCCCAGGAAGTCGCCAAGAGGTCGCTACCTGGCTCGAACCGGAGACCTCTGGCTGGCTGGGCACAGGACTGAACGCTTAGCGCCCCAAGGAGCTTGCCACCACTGCTGACGCACAGACAGACGGACAGACAAAATTTCGACCGACTGTCCTCCAATCCTCCCCTCCACTTCGTTATACGGGGGGCGGGAGGGCGTGTCGAAACCCGTGCCGTACTGCGTTGCCGTACACCTCACGGTGATGCAGGGGCGTTCAGGGGTGCTAGAGGGGCGAGGGGGTGGTGAGGGGAGTGGGGAGCATGGAGGGGGGCGGGACGGCGTGTCGAAACCCGTGCCGTACTGCGTTGCCGTACTACAGTGTGTTGTCGTACTCGAGATCTCCCAAAACACCATCCCCATAGGCCCAGGCATCATCTCCAAGGGTGCCGAGGAAGTCGCAAAGAGGTCGCTACCCGGCTCGAACTGGAGACCTCTGGCTGGCTGAGGATAGGACTGAACGCTTAGCGCCGGAAGGTCGTTGCCACCCCTTTTGTGAACGGACGGACGGACGGACGGACGGACGGACGGACGGACGGACGGACGGACAGACAGACGGAGATGATTTAATTGTGATCTGTCCTCCAATCCTCCCCTCCACTTCGTTACGGGGGGATTTACGGTCACCGACTGTCCTCCAATCCTCCCCTCCACTTCGTTACGGGGGGATTTACGGTCACAGACGAACTTTAGCGGTGATCTGTCCTCCAATCCTCCCCTCCACTTCGTTACGGGGGGATTTACGGTCACTGCGCCATTTCTTAGTCCCCCCGGCCAGCAAGGCGATGGCCCGGCAAGTCTTTCTCTTTCAGAATTGCCGTGCAGACATAAATACGCAGGTGCAGTAGAGCAATAAAATATTGTGCCTTTATTGGGCACCTCAGGTTTCCATCAAGTCCATGGGCACCTTCCAGCAACAAAGGGCCACCAACACAACCACCTTCAGCACGGCGGACAGCCTCCCGAGTCATGGGCATCATCACTAGTGTCGCTCGTCCCAAGAAAATGCGACCTGGCCTTGTTACAGAGTTCAAGGCTCGTACATCAACATTCCGAGGTTACACTGACTGTGACAAGCAGCCGCGCACAATTACGCAATGTACTACTAGGGAATTGCCCCAAAAAGAGTGACATCGCCAATACTATGGGTGCCCGTACTCGGGCACGCCAATTCGTCACCTTGCACTGTAGTGTGTGAGTCCATGTGCGCGCTCTTTGACAGGAAAGCAGCAACACAGTACTATATTTCATAGTTGCCTGATGTTTTTGAAGCGTCCTGTTCAGGCCTTATCAGACCGACCGTACGGCCCATTCTGGGCTATCGCCTTAGAGCTCAGGAACTGCCCATTTTTAAGAGTGTTGTGGCTGAACGGCCGAACTGCTTAGATATAAACTTGTTGTGGCTAGACGGCCACAACAACAACAGCGGTGGGGCGCTCGGTGAGGCACACGCGGCTTCGAAGCTTGAACTCTTCTGGCGGGTTGCGGCATCGACGAAAACAATTGGTCTACGTCAGTAATAACCGGCTAGTAGTCCTACTTTGTGAAACGTACTTTGTAGACCAAGTCATCTCAAGGTAAGGCGTCGGAATGTCGGCGCGGCAGTCGAGGCTGTTCCGCTTGACGACTGTCCCAAATATAACTATAATATATTAACAGCGATATGTAAACGTTACTCCTGTGACATAATTTTGTTTAGATGTGGTGCTTGTATAGTCACTAAGTGTGCACTGTGCATAGTGAACACCTATGGGAGCTCAAGATTAACAAAACATTAGTTAAAACCGTGCGGCGAATAGTATCGCTTCATGTACCCTTAGAAGTACGATGCCGCTTTGCAGACATCTTGTCGCCGTGTCACCTTGTCCTTGACATATGGTGTCGAAATTTGCTGCCCTCCGCAGTTATTATTCCATCTATAAGGACCATTCGCACCTTTCGAGCCTTCGCGAACGCAATCATGGTTAACACCGTCGACATGCGTCGGTTCGCTCAGGTGCTGATGGTAGCCCTCTTGCTACCAAATGCTCCGCTGCCAGGCAACCCAAGCGGTAGCATGGTGACCCTCGCAAGCGCCCAGGACACGCCCTCGCCGCCCCCATTTCCTCCCACCCCGCCATCACCTCCTGTTCCTCCGGCCCCTCCCGCCCAATACTGCGCCTACGTCTGCCCTCCATCGCCCCCTCCTCCAAGACCACCTCCCTCTCCGAAGCCGCCATCTCCCCCTCCTTCACCTCCTCCCTCACCTTCACCTCCCCCTCCACCAAGCCCTCCACCACCTTCCCTCCCAAGTCCCCCCAAACCTCCTGCACCTCCTCCCTTACCTCCACCACCCCCTCCTCCAAGCCCTCCACCACCTTCCATCCCAAGTCCGCCCAAACCTCCTTCGCCGCCACCCAGCCCTATGCCTCCTTCTCCCTCGACCCCGTCTCCTCCTCAGCCGCCTTCCCCACCTCGCCCGCCCTCCCTTCCGCCGCCTGCTACTGCTTCATCCCCGCCTCCTCCGCCTCCTTCCCCTCCGCTTCCTTCCCCTCCGCCTCCTTCCCCTCAGCCTCCTTCCCCTCAGCCTCCTTCCCCACCTCGCCCGCCCTCCCTTCCGCCGCCTCCTACTGTTTCATCTTCCCCTCCGCCACTTCCTTCCCCACCTCGCCCGCCCTCCCTTCCTCCTCCACCCCCCCCACCACCAAGCCCTCCGCCGTCAATTCCCCCGCCCCCATCGCCCGCACCTCCTTCTCCTCTGCCTCCCTCTCCTGCTCCCCCGCCACATCCCCCTTCCCCGCCCCCTTCTCCATTCCCACCGTCGCCTGCTCCCTCACCCCCACCCTCACCAAGCCCTCCTCCCTCGCCGCCTCCAAAGCCTCCCTCACCCCCACCCCCACTGTGCCCGCTCGTCTGCTGGGACATCTCCCCTGCCGTGTCCGGCCGTGCCTCCGCCGTCGGACCCGTCTCCTGCACCGTCTCCGGCTCCCCCGCCACCAATTCCACATCCGATTCGCTCGGCAAGTTTAACCTGCCAACCAACAACGGCAGCGCCTTCCTGGTTTCAAGCTGCCTGGACACAGCCACGAGCGCTAGCTACCCTGACGGCCTGCTGCGGTCCGTCATCCCACCCACCGCCAACTCCAGCCGCATGGTCATCGTATCGCCTCTGTCGTCCGTTGCTTCATTCATCGCAGGACCCAGCGAGGTGTTGGGAAGCAGGATGGCTCGCCTGGGAGCCAGCTTCGGGCTGCAGCTAGCAAACGACATGGCCGAGCTGCCAGTGTATGACTACCTGGCCGAATCGCAGTCGGCGGAGTCTCCGGAAAAGATCACCGCACGCGGCATTCGTGTGGCGTTTGCGAACTACATGGCGCTCGGCACGGCCACCAATGCTGTGAACCTGTTCACGGGTCTGTACGGTTACAGCCAGAGTGACTCTGTTCGTGCTACGCTGATTGGCTTGGCTTTTACAAGTGAGTGGGAGGAGGGCTTGGGTGACGGTTGATGGGCATGCCCAAGGATTCTGGGCATGCTTGTTCCAACAACTGGCCGCGAGTAGGAACATGCATGGTATGTTGCATGGTTTTGTGGGATATGGCGAGCAAGAAGCAAAGCATTGCTCGCGCAATGAGCTGATGTGCGGATGTAGTCCAAGTCGTACATGTACGGCACTCACGGTTTTTCGCTCTGCTAATGACGATGGCCCCTCTGCCCCCCCCTCTTCCATGCCCCTGCCGCCACCTCATCCTGCAGAGTCCATCACCACCCCTGTCGGCCTCCAAGCCGTGTTCGACAAGGCGTACGGCATTCTATCCGCTGCGGACTTCTACCGACGCAGCGCCCTGTCTACCACCCACAGCGCACGCAGCCTGCTAGGCACCGCCCCCAACGCCACCGCCGTCACACTCGCCCTGCTGGAGAGCCTCTACCAGGCCAACACCCTTATTGCGGCCCAGCAGCAGCTGCTCACAAACAGCAGCAGCAACCCCACGGCGCTCACCGCCAAGCAGCTTGCGGACATCCTGACGCAGGGAGGCAAGGCCGCAACGGTCGTAACCACCTCCATGGCAAAAGCAACTGCCGAAATGGCCAGCGGAGCTCTCAGCGTCAGCGCCTTCAGCGAATCCTACACGGGCAGCGGACTGACCAACAAGATTGCTGAGGTGGACTTCCCGATCCTGGCGTACCAAAAGAAGAAGAAGTTCCCTCCTGGAGCCATTGCGGGTGTGGTGGTGGGCGGTGTGGTGGCTGTGGCGCTGGTGGTGGGTCTCACGGTGTTCCTGGTGAGGAAGCGGCGTGAGGGTAAGGTGCTTGCTGATGCACGGCCCGTCTAAGTGGCTTAACCTGTGCTGTGTTACGGGCTGCTGTGTCTTGCGATACCGGCCTACAATGTTCCAACTTGGTTTTGATCTCTGCTGCTGAGGATGACCGCTTGTGGATTCATGACCCGGTGCATGCATGCACTGACAGTTTTCACGGACGCTTCATGGGCATATATTCATTTGACGAAGATGATGAGGATATTCAACACTTGCCCATTGGTCCTCGCATGTTTGGTACATCAGGAGCTGCCGGGTACTGAGATCAATCTGATTCGTGTGTTAATCGTGATGGTGGGTTTAATACACGCCCTGCTGGATTCGTGTTTCCCCATATGAAGATATTTACATGCTTCGGTGCCTAGTCACCAGCGGATGCTGTTTGATTGCGTGGTGCTGTGCTGCTGTGGAGGTGCGCAGTGTTGTACCGGTGCCTGTCTTGCAGAACTTCTCATGCCATGCCTTGGATCACACAGCCGTGTGTTTGTGTGGGGCCATGGACCCAACGATCGGGCGCCATTGTACGCCATACATTCATTTTTCGCGCGCGGCAAATCGGCTTTGACTGCTCGAGATGCACTATGTATAATGCAGTAACATGCATTATAGGAGAAGGACCTGGTATCGGACTCGGCATCGTGTTATACTGCGAGTGTGGTTGCTTCCATGCAAATGCATTGGAGATGCTATTGATGTGGTGTGAGGGACTTACTCGTGGCGGCTGGCCTGATGTGGGTGTTTGACGAATGGCGAATTGACCCGAAATGAAACCGGTATACGTAATACGTACCTCTATTTTTCGCGGAAATGACCCGTTGCTGTACGGATTCTACCATTGCCGTACATGTCCTCTCATTGCTGTCGTACGTATCCGATACGGCACTTGCTGTACGGTGATTGTCGTGGCGGACAAGACCTGCCTGTTAAACGTATGACTAATGTTGGCTGGTGTGGTGTGCTGATGTGTGTTATCACTGCCGTATGAAAACGTGTGTGGTCTGCATTAGATGTGACGATTAGTATCTGACAGTCAGTACTCGTACTTTGCCCCGTTGTCGCAGAGTCCACGTATAACCGCAAAGTTGGCGTTGGAGTTCGTAATCTTGTCGCAGTATGCTGAAGTCAGTATATTATGTCGTATGCGTCATCCTCGGGCAGTACAGAGGATGTTCTCAGTTGAGTGTCAAACACTTGTAGTACACATTGTAGTTGGCGTGCGTTCCTTGCAGTCGTGGCATGGCCCCTGTTGCAGTCGCGTTGTTCGGTATTTCAGTTGTTACGGCAGCACCGCTAGCATCTGAATGAGCCGTACACCTTACACCCAGTTGATTGTATTGGGTATATCTTCCAATAAACTTGTAACAGCCACCAAAACGCCTTTTCACTGTGAGCCCGAAGATGCATGGTGCTCGGCAATGTCCTATGTCCTATCTGACCCACGGGTCATAAATGCACCGTATGCACGTTTTACCGCTACACCTGGCTACACTCTTTATAAGCAGCCTCCGTGTTTCGGCGCCCGTGGTTCCGATTGTCGACACTCCGTGGCTGCTGCAGTTGCCGCCATCATAGATAGCTGTAGTAGCTACAAGTGAGTCGTAGGCAGTGGCTTTAGCTTTCGCCCTTGCCGTCGTACAGTACAGGATTCGTACGAGGAGGCAGTGTACGGTCCCAGCCGATGTACTGCAATTGTACCGCATTGCCCTCAGTGGCGGCAGCAGTACCACGCTACCACCTTCCCCTCCAGCATCTCTCAACACCTCCCATGATCACCACAGCTGTACAACGCTGACTGCGCTAGAGGCACCAACAACGGTAGCAGGAGCAGAAGGGGTCCACCAAAGCAGTTAAAAGCAGGGAATACTAAGCCGCCGTGGCGCTTAGTACGGCACCAAAGCCTGGCGGTGCATGGCATGGAATCGTGTGCTGCTGCAAGCCTTCCAGCTGATGCGGGTGCTGCTTGCCGCAGCGCCGCCCGCTGTCGCCTCCAGCAATGCGGCGGCCGCCAGCGCCCTTGGTGCACCCCTGTCGACTCTGGAGCAGCATTTTAGACGTCGCGGTGTGCTGGGGACGGGGAGGAAGGTAAAGCCAAACCCGATAGCGCCACGACAACGAAAGAAGCACAACGGCGGTATACTAGGAAAGGGGAGTAAAGGAAAAGGAGAAGGAGAAACAAAGAAGATCGAAGCAGCGCTGTTTGGAATGCACATGTTCTTGCTTCCCAAGACATGCCCTTCCACAAAGCACACCGCTTGCACCTTATTTGGCGCGCTTTGAAACCTTCACTTGTTGTATCGTCGCTGCCATGACCAGCGCCTCAGCAGCGGCCAAGGCTCCGTTGCTAGCTGCCATCCGTCGCTCATGCTGTAGCCGTAACCGTTTGCGCTGAAGAACGCCTTAGGCTAGGACCATACAAAATCGGCTTGTTAATGACGGAGTTATTGTTATGGTTGCGGCAAAGGAGAAGCTATCCAGGAGCAGCGATGCGCGTCGACATCGACTGTGAGTGACCAGGCCCCAAACTGGAACAACGTCGGCCCATTGAGAGTATAGGTGTTCAGTACTTGTAATCGGTGTGTATGTGCTTTTAATGATTTGATCAAGTCATTGCACGCAACACTCCCAAGCAACATGCACAGTTGATGTCAAAAAACACAAAAGGATTGGAACAACAAGCTAGTCTTAGTGGTCAATAGTATCATGTTCATCCTAATATTGGAAGTTGTTGCAATCGGGCATTCGCTGGGCCATCCCTTGCTGACTGTACAAATGTTGCTGTCGCGATTCATATTCACAACTGAGCCTTAAATTTTCTTCGGAATACAAAGAAGCTGTCTTTTCAACAATTAGACGATTTTCCAATGCGAACATAGGCCTTTCTGGTGAAATATCCTTTACAATATGGCGGCTATCCAAGACGTGCCGCGATTAGTATTGCAAGCAATATTAGCCTCTCAGAGCCCTCAGGCGCTTCCACAGCAACGCAAGGATGCTGTGGCGTTCCTGGAACAGGTGAGCGCCTAGGATCGACTTTAGATCTGCCTTGCACGATACTTCGGCCTGGTAAAAATCCACGCAGAATACAATATCAAACAGTATGGTCAATGATTGGGACGTTTACGGCATTGCGGTTTCTTAGGAGGCCCAGCGGTTGTTTCCATCAGCAGGGTTGTTGTTGCCTGGGTGGTTGCTTTAAGAAACATACTCCCTCTCCCCCTATATGCCTTACGAGAGGAAGGATACAGGATGGCCAAAGCATTCCGCCATGTCTGGGTGTCACCCTGGGCCCTGCAGCCTAAGCGACCTACATAGCCTCCCACTGTGTTGCTTAGGAACACACGGCGCCGGCAACTCTTCCCTTCCTGACCCCAGGAGCCCCCTCCCTGTACAGCCTCCTCCCTTCCAATATCCCATCTATTCCCCTCTTAAGCGCCCTTAACACTCACCCCTCCGCGCCCCGCCCCTCTTCCCCTTCCCTGCCCCTGTCCCCTCCCTGCATGGTGGTCTCCACAGTTCAAACGGGCGGATGTGTCATCCGTACTCACCGTATGCGCGACACTCATGTCCGTACAGCAGCTAGCGCAGCAGTACGGCAATCTGCTACAGCCCTCGGATGTGGTGGGGGTACGACTGGCGGCGTACCAGCTGTTCATGGACGTGGTGGGTTCATGGGCGTGGTGGTGTTGGGTAAAAAATGAGGAAAACTGACGAATTGATGATGGTGGGGTGAGGCCTATTACGGCCTGTACATGCAGCCCGGTACTAAGTACTTGCTGCACTAGCGGGCGTCTGCTTTACTACGGTACTCGGGAGCGGCGGCAGTGGCGGCGGCAGTGGCGGCGGGAGTGAGACACGGCTTGCTCTTAGGGCACCTTAGGGCGACCCAGGGCTTGCGGGCTGAAGATGGTTGTTGACGGAACCTCTGCGAGGCGACCCCTCACTCCCTCCCGTGATCCCCATGGTCTTGCCCCAACCTGTGGTTTCGGTGTATTTCTGGTCTTTGGCCCTCCCATGATCCCTCTTCTCCCCGTGTTGCACCTCCCCCCCCCGCCTCCCGCCTCTCCATGCCCAGGTTCGCAACCGCTGGCGGGAGCTGGGAGCTGAGCAGCGCGTGTCGGTGTGCCAGCTGGCGTTGCAGCAGTTCACGGAAGGTGAGGAGGGGTGGAAAGCGGTTTGGAGGAAAGGTGGTGTGGGGTGGACGGGAGGCTATGGGCGGGAGGTATGGGGGTAAACGCTGGCTGGCTGGTTCGTGGTGGCGAGGGATGCTGCGGCAGAGGGGAGGGGGAGCGTGAGGAAAGGAAAGCTAGGAGGGCAGGGCCGTGCGGGAGGAGGATGAGAAGGCATGGAATGAGCAGCGAAGTGAGGAGGCGGGGAGGAAGGGAGGAAAGGACGTGGAAGGAAGGGACTGGCTCGGAGGAAGGAGGGGGGAAGGTGTGTTTGTGTGTTAAGAAAACTGGCCGCGAGTAGGAACGTACTGGGAATGATTGTGTGTATGTGGAGGAGTTGGTTGGGCTGTGACATGCAGGACAGTGATGGGGCGGGTGTGTGTGGTGGGGTGCGGTGCCGGGCGGCAGGTGTAGGCCGCTCCGGGACCCGGAGCGACCCACCTCTGGAACAGGGCCAGCATCTGAATGAGCTAGCATCCTGTTGGGATGGTCTAGCACCGAAGCAGTTGACACCGTATGACAGGGGATGACCCTTCAGGCGGGTGGGCGGGCCCCTCGGGATCGCCACCCTACCGGGATCGCCCCTCCCGGCAATGTCCCTGTCCCCGCTGCTGCGGCCTGTGACCCAGCGGCAGCAGCGGCAGCAGCAGCAGCAGCAGCGGGCGATGAAGGGTGAAGGGGGGGAGCGACGATGAAGGGGAGCGGCGAAGGAGGGAGTGACGCATGGGAGGGGAACCCGGGTGTGTTGGGAACACTACCTAGGCGCGTGAGGTGGAGCTGACTGGGGCTGACTGGGTGCCTGGGTGGGGGGCGGAGGGGGGGGGGCTGCGTGTGGCTGCATGCGTGTTCATTCCCTGCGGGATGGAGCACCTGTCTATCTGGCTGGCTGGCTGGCTGGGCGCGTGAAGGGGAGGCCAAGGCTGTTGTTGTTGGCTGTTGTTGTTGCAGGGAGGGAGGATTAGATGAACTGAGCCGCGGAAACCCTGACCCTGGGGGAGGCTAGGTTGCCAGCACTGGCAAGGGGGTGACAGAGGGCCGGCTGCATGCGCGTCGGCGTCGTCGTGGTTTGTGAAGGCGGGTCGTGGCGGGTTGTAGCACGCCAGCATGTTGGGTCCTCCTCCCTCCAGGATGCCGCCGCATGTAGGGCCGCAGGTTCCCGCTCGGCTCCTAGCCGGTGCCGGCTGCGGTTGCAACGACGAGCTGCTGCTTTGCTGCTGCTGTTGCTGCTGCTGCAACAAACATTGCGTGCCTTCCCTAGCTGTCTGCCTGGCTGGCTGGCGTGTTCTTTGGACTGGCCGGCGTGCCTCCCCTCCCACACCCCCGCACTCTCCCGGGTATTCCCCGGTTGCTCCACCTCTCCCCTTCCTTACCCCTCCTCCTCCTCCCCCCCCTCTTATCTCTCTCCCGCAGCCGCCGGGTCTGATGCGGCGGCCGGTGCCGGCCCCCTGCGCGGCAAGGCTGCTGAGCTGCTGGCGGTGGCGGTGCGGCAGCAGGGCTCCGCGGCCTACTCGGAACTGCTGCCGCAGCTGATGGCGGGGGCGGCAGCGGGGCCGGCACAGGTGGGGCTGGGGGGCGGGTGGGGTGGGTGGGGGGCGCATTGGGTAAAGAAGAGGGGTTGGGGGTGGGGTGGGTAACAAAAAGGGTGGGGATGGGTGGGTAAAGAGGAGGACATGAACTGGTCGTGTGACAAGGGGTTTGAATGGGTGGGCGGGGAAGGAAGGAAGGGTGCCCATGCGGAGGGTAGGGGTGTGGGGTGGAGGGGTGAAAAGGTTGATATTGGGGTATGGGGCCAGCATGGGGGCCCCAGCATGGGAGCAGCGGGGTGGAGGGTGATTGCGGGAATGGAGACAAGGGCAACAGGTGCAACGCAAGGGGCATGGGCACGAGGAAGTTTTACCCCGGGTCTTCAATGTAGCAAGAACACTTTTGCTAATCTTTTAAACTACCGTGGAGTAATGGAATGTACGACAGACGTTTGTTTATGTTGAGCTTTTGGCAGGGCTTAGCACAGAACGCTCATACACTGGGGATGGGTATTGCCTTGTAAGGGTTGCCTGTTCTCCTGGGCTGTGTGGTTGTTACGAATGGGTGCGTGCTGGCGTGGAGGGCTGCTGCATGTGACGTGTACGGATTGTACGGCATATGTTTATACGGCTTACCGAAGGGGGGGAGGTGGCGGGACAGAGGTCACTGCCGTACTGGCGTACATTGTGTTTCTTTGCTGCCGGCTTGTGTCCGTCGCTAGCTAGCTAGTTGGGGTGTTGCATGCTGTTGATGTCACGAGGTCATCGAGGCCCTTGCATCCACCCCAAAAGCGCTCCATTCAACCCCACGCTGTGTGCCATGCAATTCGGTGTTGTGTGCTTAGTTACAGTGTTTTGCGCACGACTGCTCACCTTCGTCCCCTCCCGATCAGCACCACCACCACCACCCAGCGCTTACTCACCACTTTGCCCCTCCACTGGTAACTCCCTTGAAGCCATCCCTGCCGTAATTCCCCGGTTGCTGTGCTCAAGCTTGCCCATGCTATCCAAGCTGATCCAAGCCGGAACTTGGCCAACTGACCATGCATCCCACCCTGCCACGTCCCACCTCCGCTCCATTCACGCTCCCCTCTCCAGGCTGAGCTGAGCTGCCGGGTGCTGCACTACATCAGCGAGGACCTAACCCAGTTTGAAGTATCCGGCCCAGGTTAGTAGATGCTGGAGGACGGGGGACATTGGGATGGCTTGTTAGCTGGTTGGCCAGTGTCAAAGGCTGTTGACGCTGCTTCTCCTTCTCCTCCTCCACTTGCTGCTGCCGCTGCTGTTTCACTAGAGTAAGGCGCTGGCTGCTCTCCCCCTTGGCCATTGAGCGTGAAAGGTGTAGGAAGACAAATGGTTGGTTAGGTGTTACAGGTGTATTGATTGTCAATATTTCACACAAATATGTATTGAATCGCCGATTTGCGATATTGTCATAAGCACCTCTCCATAGTTGGACCAGGACGCACTTGCGCGCGTCCGAAAACTACAAAAATCAGCAACTTGCCCTAAGTCAAGCGCCGCTAATCATCTCTTCTCTATGCATGCTGGGAAGATAGCGCGCTCCCCATCCGCTTAGGCAGCGACCACCTCATCGAGGGCGTAGTTGTTGGTCGTGACACCAGCGTAGTTCTGGTTCTCAAAGCGCACAACCACAGGGTACCGGATGCCGCTCTGCAAACATAATGGGGATGCGCGGGCTTTAGAGGCATACGTTCTTGGCTGGGACAAGCATCTCAGACCCATGCGCACCTGGTCGACGGAGACGACCTTGCCAACCTGGTTGAACCAGTACGACTCAGGGCGCAGAATCTTCACCTGTTTAGTTGGGGTAATTTGCCTGCTTAGCGCACGAAGCTGAGAGGTCCCAAGTGCGCTGCTTGCTCACCGTCGAGCCACGCTTGGGGCCGACCTCAACCTTCTTGGGGGCAACGGCGGCCGCCTCCTGGGCGCGCACCGCCAGGCGCGAAGAGCGCTGGGGCTTGGCTGCAGCCAGGTACAAAGCCGTGAAAAAGTTGTGTGGGTGCTTGCCGATGGCTAGTTGAGGTTGCGATCACGCACCCGCGAAGTTCACGCGAGAAGACAGGGCCTGCATTTTCGTGTTTGGGAAATAGAGAATGCAGAAATGTCACGTGTATGACGGTTTGGCATCCTTGTGAGTGGAGTTGTTCCATATAAGGTGAGGGGCTGGAGATCCAGATGCGGGCCCTTTACGTAGAATACCACGTAATGACCATCCGCAACCACTCGCCTTCCGTCGCAAGCTTCTTTGATATTGTTTTGCTAAATCTATAAAATGCTTGGCCTGGTGAAACGGGTTTGCGTTTGAATTCTCTATTGAACGCCGGTTGCAGGCTGCAAGTTGATGCATCTTCCACAGCTTTATGGCATCGCTTCGTAGATTACAATAACGATTGTGTAATTAAGCAACGAATACTTACGGGTACCCACAAACCCTCTGACCTCCTCCTTCGCAGGCGGAGCTGTCGGCGATGGATCGACCATCGATGCTCCTTCATCCAGCGCAGCTGACGGCCCCGATGTTACAAGCAAGAGGGCTTTCCTCTCGGCCCTTACAGCCTCAGCGACTACCGTGTTCCCTTTCCTATGCGAGGTATGGTCGGCTTGCCCGCCTCTTCACTGCCTCCACCCCGCTGCTAACATGCGCCCCGTCGTTACACTATTTCCTTTCCATCTCCTTCCCTCCCGCTCACCACCCTATTCTTCCCCCCTCCCATCCTCCCATCCTCTTCCCACCTCGCCCCAGATCCTGGAGCAGCACTTCCAAGCCGCCCAAGCCCTCCAAACCGCCCCGCTGCCCCCCTCCTCCTCCGCCGCCGCCCCCTCCTCCACCTCCACCTCCCCCCAACAGCAGCAGCAGCAGCAGCGCCAAGACGCCATCTCCGCCCACGTCGCCGCGCTTTCCGCCGCCCTGGCCGCGCTGAGCACCTGGGTTGAGTGGGTACCCATGCGGCGTCTGGCGGGCAGCCCCGTGCTGGCGGCCTGCGCGTTCTTCCTGCGGGAGGGCTCACCGGCGCTGAGGCTGCAGGCGCTGGACGTGATGCGGCAGGTGGGGATCAATCACACTGATAGTGTAATGAGGTATATAGAATAATCTATTGATCTTTTCATTAGATTATTCTTAGGTTAGATTATTATCATTATATTTTTGCCTATTACCGGTGTATTATCATCGCTCAATGATAACCCATCCTGGATGCCTTGGGGGGGTGGTCTGGACGTGTGGGTTGGGGATGTGGAGTTGTGGACCCAACCCCCCACCCGCCCACCCATGGTCAAGCCTCGTCATACAGCCCATCAGCATCCTCATTTCACCCAACTCCCAAACTCCCAAACTCCACCCACTCCCCCCCCCCCCAGATCACCTGCCAACTCCTACCCCCATTGCTTTGCCCTAACATGTGGTCTCCTATGGTTTGGTATGGTCTTTGACCCCTCAGATCACTTGGCGCAAGCGCGCCAACGAGAGCCCCTCCGACTACTCCGCCCTCATGGACGGGCTGGGCGGGGCGCTGCTGGGCGCCACGGGGGCGCTGGGGCTGCTGCTGGGGCCGCAGGACCCGCTGCCGCCGGGTGGGTTTTGCTTAAGTCAAACTGAGGGGGCAGCGAAGGAGATGTGTGACACATAGGCTTCACCATGGGTTGCTGGGTGGGGGGAGAGGAGGGGGTAAAGAGGAAACAAGGGTGGGGGACGGGAGGTATGACGAGAGGGCTTCACCATGGGTTGCTACCGGAAATTGCACCCGGCCCAGCCCAGCCCACCCGAATCTGCCAAGTTCCGCTTCCGTTCCTCTCTAACCCCTCCCCTCCCGATCCCCTCCCGACCCCCCCTTCTCCCCCCCCAGCCATGGTTCGTGAGCTGGGCTTCGGAGGCTCCCAATCTGAGTTCGGCTCCCGCCTGCTAGAGGTTCTAGAGTGCCTGGGCGAGGGACACTTCCGCTGCCTCTCTGAGCCCTCCGGCCGTCGCGCCGCCTTCCTGGCGCAGCTCCTCACCTTCACCCGCCACCCCTACCTGCGCCTGTCGGGAGGCACGCTGCCGCTGTGGCACCAGCTGCTGCGGGAGGCGGCGCCCCCGCCCGGGCAGGCGCTGGGGGCGGCGGGGGCGGTGGCGGGGCTGGTGGTGGCGGGGGCGGGGGGAGCGGGAGGAGGAGGGGGAGGGGGACAGGTGAGGTGGGGAGGGGAGTGGGGAAGGAGGACCCCATCATGAGGGCTGCCGTACAGTGGAGGATGGTGGGAGGATTGACCGTCGACCGAAAACCCCACACCATGTTTGCAAACCATGATGACGCCTTTTATCACACTTACGGCCACTTAGTTGCTTCCTCTTTACCTCCACCCCTACCCCCACCCCCATCCCAACCCCTACCCCCTCAGGGTTCCCCCGGCGGCCCCGGCAGCAGCAGCAGCGCCAAGGGGGCCTCCTACAGCCTGCCCGTGGAGGTGGTCTCGGAGCTGATGCGGGTGCTGTGCGGGGCCATGCCGCATGTGGTGCCCTCCGCCGACCCAGGGGTCACCAACGTGCCGGACTGGTAGGGTTGGTTGGGGGTTTGGGGTACGGTTACCCGCGGGTGCAACCGCGGGTGGAGCTTGAACCGATGTTGTACGGTAGGACAGTTGGTTTCCATACCCCCCTTCCCCCTCTCCCCTCCAACCCCCCACCTTCTCCCCCCTCTCCCCCCCCCTCTCTCCCCCCCCAGGTGTGACAGCCACGCCGAGTACAAGGAGGTTGTCGTCTCCTACCGCTCCCAAGCAAAGGCCATCCTCCGCGCCGCAGCCGCACTCGCACCCGAGCAGGGCCTCCAAGCAGCCGCAGCCCTCCTGAGTACGGCACTCACAGCATGCAGTACGGCACCCGCCCAACCCCAGGGTGCGGGTACGGCAGGTACGGCAGGTGCTGCTGGATCCGGATCTGCCGTACCGTCGCCCACATCTCAACTGGAGGCCGCGGTGCTGGTGTTGACGGCGGTGTTGCAACCCATTTGCGATCTGGCGGCTGGGGCGCTCATGCCTGCTGCTGCTGCTGCCGCCGGTTCATCTTCAGCGCTACCATCATCATTATCAGCAGCAGCAGGAGTGTCACCAGCAGCAGCACCTTCCTCTTCTTCTGCCTCCGCTGCCGCTGCCGCTGCTGCCGCCAGTGCGCTGGTGGGGGGAGTGGGTGAGCTGCTGCAGGCGGTACTGCGGGTGCGGCTGGCGGACCCTCGGCACATGACACTGGTGAGGGGGGGTGGGGGGGTGGGTAGGGAGTGGGTTGGCAGGAAGCGGAAGAAGGGTAAAATGGGTTGCGCTGGCACTGTTGGAATGGGGGGGGCAGGTGAGGGGTGAGGGGGCCCCTTTCATGTAGAACCCTGCCGCCTCATTTCCGCATTGTTTTGCCCATTCGTGGTTTCCTATGGTTTGGTCTATTTCGATCCCTCCCCCTCCCTCTCCCCTTCCCCCTCCCTTCCCCCCCAGCACGCGGAGGCCATCGAGGCGTTCGGCCGCTTCCTGGCGCTGCGCCCCGACCTGGCAGTGCCCACCGTGAGCTGCTGCCTGGAGGTGATGGCACTGCTGCCGCTGGAGGTGGGGGGGGGAGGGAGGGGGGCAGGGAGGTGAAGGCGGGAGGGAGGGGGTATTAAAGGCCAGACCAAACCGTAACGTGATCTGGTACGTCCACAACACATACACAGTCCCTTCTGAGTACCCCCCATGCTTGCCACCTCCCCCCCTTCTCCCCAGCCTCGTTGTACAGTTCGTCAGTGTCCTCACTTTTACCCACCCCCTCCCCCACCCACCCGCAGGCCCCCGGCCAGCAGCCGCCCCCCGCCCGCCAGACCCCCGAGTGGCGGGCGCAGTTCGAGGCGCGGCTGGCCATGGCTAACGTGCTGCTGGGGCTGGCGAGGGTGAGGGGAGCGGGGGGGAGGGAGGGAGGGAGGGGAGAGAATAAGGGGTGGAAGTAGACCCTGCCCTCCCTGTGTCGGGATGTGGCATTGGGACTCCAGTTGCTGCACTTCCCATTTATGTTTCCCTCCCCTCTGCCTCCGCCCTGACTCCACACGGTCAGCTAGTTGTTTCCTGCTTACCACCACCGCCCCCTCCCTGTCTCCCCCCCCACTCCTATCCCCATTGCTTTGCCCTAACTTGTGGTCTCCTATGGTTTGGTATGGTCTTTGACCCCCCCCCCCCCCAGGCCGCCCCCGCCTCCCTGGTCCCCCACCTCTCCGCGCTGGTCACCGAGATCTCCCAGCTGTGGGAGCGGGGGCTGCTGCGGGAGGGGGAGCGGGTGCTGCTGTGGGAAGGTACGGCAGGGGGGAAGGGGGGGGAGGTACGGCAGGAGGGGAGGGTGGGGGGAGGTACGGCAAGGTGGTGGGGGGAGGTACGGCAAGGTGGTGGGGGGAGGTACGGCAAGGTGGTGGGGGGGGGTACGGCAAGGTGGTGGTGGGAGGTACGGCAAGGTGGTGGGTAGCTTCGGTTGTTGCGCTCACCGCACCTGAGTCACCGGGACTTGGGACTTCACTCCTCCCATCCCCCCTCCCATTTCCCCTGCCCCCCGGCCGCGCTCCCCCCCCCCCGCGCTCCCCCCCCAGGCCTGCTTGCCGCCGCCTCCGCCGCCTCCCCGGGTCTGCAGTCGCAGCTGATCGCGCTCATCTTCCAACCCATCGCGCAGCACTGGGGCAGTGAGGAGTGGCGGGCCAGTGTGGCCTCTCCGCAGGTAGTGGTGGTGACGAACTGACGAGGCAACTAACGAGCTGTATGACAAGGCTTCACCATGGGGTGCAAACATGGTAGCCGGCCTATCCCACCCTGCCGAATTAGTCAAGGGTGGGGGGTCGGGGGGCGCAGGGGGAGAGGGAAACAGGGGGACAGGCACCCATCCTTTCTTCACGTTTTCCGTTTACCTTCCCTCCTTTTCTCCTATACCCCTCTTTCCTCCCTCCCTGCCTTCCTTCAGGCCTTCGTAGCTTCCTACATGCCCCTGGTGCCCGCAACCTCACCTGCAGCTGCTGCAGCCCCGGGCACTGCTGCAGGCGGCAGCGGGGGAGGGGGAGGCAGCGGCGGTGGGGCGTATGAGCTGGGTGCCCGGGACAAGCGATGGACACTGTACCATCAGGTGAAGGGGGGAGTGTTAAGAAAACTGGCCGCGAGTCGTGTGTGGTTTGTTAGCTTGTCATTCAACATGTTGCTCCGTGCCTGGGCCGTACCTGTATACCCCGTGTAACGCAGTGCTGCTGCTGCTCGAATCACCATCACCCCCACCCCCCCACCACCTCACCGCTGCCGCTGCCGCAGCTATCACCCTGGCCTTCTTAACGCCGCCCCCGCCCCCGCCCTCCCAACTGCTGCTGCTGCAGGTCACGCTTCTGGAACGCGCCCTCCGCCGCGCCGGCCCCCCCACCGGCAGCAACCCCCCCGGCTCTACCCCCGGCCTCCTCCCCTCCCTCGGCTCGTTCGGAGCCCCCTCCACCACCGCCTCCGCCACCACCACCGCCTCCGGTACGACAGCCGCCTCTGGGTACGAACATCCCTTTAGCAACCACCTCGAGTGGTGCCTTCCGCCCATCGCTCGGCTCGTCGCCTGCATTCACGCCCTCGCCGACCCACGGGTCGCTGCGGGTCTGGGTCCGCTAACCATCATCAACGAAATGGACGCCGTAGAACGAGCCGTACGGCTTGGCGAGGACCGTGATACGGCAAAGGCGGCGGAGCAGCCCGAACCCAGATGCGTTGCTGGTGCTAACCTAGCGGATGCGAGGTATTTCGTACGCGGGATTCGGGAGTGTTCCTACATGGTGCTTAGTTTGGCAACCACGCATTGCGGACCCGCCATGTGGAGGTCTCCGGCGCTGGCGGCGCTGCTGCCGGCGGCGGTGGCTGGCGGCGCGGCGGCGCTGGGGGACGTTGTCGTACGGTTGCTTGTACGGCATGTGTTGACGCCGTGGGCTCAGCGATGTCCGGCGAGCAGGGCGGGGGAGTGGATGGTGCCCTTGTGCGGGTGAGGGTGGGGTGAGGGTGGGGGTGGGGGTTGGGGTGGTAGTGGTGAGGGTGGTGTGGTTCAGATGGGGAGAAGGAGCAGACATCTTCCGCCTCTCATCATCAACTCCAGCCCTTCCCATCCCTTCCCTTCCCTACTCCATCTCCCTTTCCCTCTCGTTTTCCCTTCCCTTCCCCTCCCCTCCACCCACAGCGCCTTCCTGCCTCACATGCACGACCGCCTCACCTCCGGCTGGGCAGCGCTCCAAGCTCCCACACTGCTGCAGGCAGGCCCCGCCTCCTCCTCCTCCTCTGCCGCCGCCGCCGCCTCATCTGCTGCAGCTGCTTCTGGAGCAGGTGGAGGCGGAGGTAGCGGTCCGGGTCGGCCCCAGGGAGGGGCGGGTGCTGCTGCTGCTGGGGGGGCGGGTGCAGGAGGCGGCGGTGCGGGTGCGGCTACGGATGAAGTGCTGCGAGACACGTTGCTACGAGAGGTGAGATCGGGGGGGTGGGGATGGTGGGGGTGGGATGGTGAGGGAGTGCTGGGTCGTGAGGGGTGTGTGGGTGGGAAGGGGCTGGGGTGGGAGAGGACGGGGCTGCATGTGCCGCTTTTGGTTTTCTAGCATGTGTTGTTGTTTACCATGAGGATGAGAGAAGTGGGCTCTCAACCAGTATGCCTTACTTCCTCAAACCCGTATCCTCCCTCCCTCCTGCCTTCCCCCTTCTCTCCCTCCCCTGCAGCTCACCCGAGAGTACCTCCACTTCCTCAACGCCCTAGCTACTCGCCGACCCGCCGACCCCGCCTCCGACCCCACCGCCACCACCACCACCTCGGCCCTCCTGCCTCCCACCTCCTCCGGCACCGCCGCCACCTCCATCTCCCCCCGGGTCAGCGCCAATGGAGGTGCACCCCCCGCTGCGCCCTCCTCCCCCACCGGATCTGCCGGCGGACTCCCACTGCAGGTAGGCGGGGCGGGGTGGGGTGGGGGGCACATGCGGGACGGAGGGAGGGAGGGAGGGAAGACAGTGGCGGATAGGATACGGCCTGTTTCGTGGCCTGACAACCCTGCTGCTGCTGCTGCCCCTGCGCGCTGCATGCATGCATGGCGCTAACTGTTCGCCGGCCACCTCCCGCCCCCACCGCCCCCCACCTTATTTCTTATATAATTTTCCCCCCACCTCTACCCCCCGCCCCCCACCCTGTTCCCCGCCCCCCCGCAGGAGAGCATGCTTGAGGTGCTGCTGCGAGCCCATCCAGGCGCAGCTCAGGCAGGGGTGGCGGTAGGGGTGGCGGCGCTGTGCTGGCCGGATGCAGATGCGGCAGCCAAGGCAGTCAACTTCTGCAGGTGTGTGAGCTGGGGCCGGGGAGACTTGCGGGGAAAGCCGGGGCAAGGGCTGGGGGGGAGGACTGGGTGGTGGTGGTTGTCGCTGTTGGTGGGGCGTAGAACCACCTATGTTACATACCCCCGAAGGACTGGGCAAGACTGCAGCTTCACGACCCCGCCCCCTCCCTCCCTGCCCCTCCCTGCCCCTCCCTTCCCCTCCCTGCCCCCAGGTCGCTGCTGCTGCTGTCTCAGTCGGGTCACGCGGAGCTGGGCGGGGTGGTGGCGAGTGCGGTCACGCGGGGCGCCATCAGCTCGCTGGGGCTGGTGAGCACCGTCATGGTGCAGGCGCAGGTGGGGAGGGGAGAGGGGGGGGGGAAGGGGGGAGAGGGGGGGGTAAGAATAAGGAAAACTGACGAACAAGGATGACGAGGCTTCACCATGGCTTCAACTGGGGAGGGAAAGAAGAATACCCAATGTGTTGAGTGAGAATGGGAAGGGCGGGTTGAAGCCCAGGCGCAGAGGGGGGGTGTTTCTTGGGTGCCATGTGCCGTGTTCTTCCTTCGCCGCTCCAATCCCACTGGCTCAGCACCCTGCCACCACCTCTCCCCCCCCCCCTGCCCCCTCCTCCTCCCCCCCTACCACAGGTCCTGGAGCTGCTCCGTTCCGTGTTGGCCGCCTACCTGCCGCCCCACCCCGCCCGCCAGCCCCACTGCAACATGCTGCGGGCGGTGCTGGGGGAGCTGCCGGGGGTGACGCCGCAGGTGGGGGGAGGGTGGGGGGAGAGCGTGTGCGTATGTGTGTGTTTTGGGGAGGCAGGTTGGGGGGAGCTGCCGGGGGTGACGCCGCAGGTGGGGATGTGGGTGGGCGGGAGCGTGTGTGTGTTTTGGGAGGCAGGTGTGGGGAGGGATGGGGACATGGGGTGCCTCCGCAGGTGGGTCGGGAGCGCATGCCGAGTGTGTGTCACTCCCCTCCCCACTCCTCCCCCCCTCCCCCAGGTGCTAGACAACTTCTCCGCCGCCTTCACCTCCGCCCACGGCGACAAAGAGCAACGCGCGCTCATCAAGCAGCTGCTGGCGGCGGTGGGGGGAGACGAGGTAAGGGGAGGGGGGCGGTAGGGAGATGAGGGAATGACTTGGGATACAGGGTGGGTGCCGTACGCTTCCTGCGGCCCCTCGCATGCCCTCGTACTTGCCACGAACCTTTCCCCGCCGCACGCGCTGTGCACCGTCTAAAACCCCGTCCTGCTCCTCCCTCCCTCTTCCCTCCTCTCCTCCCCCCCTCCCCCTGCCCTTCCACCCCCATTCAGGTTCGCAAGCTGCTCGCTGCAGTGTCCAAGGTACCTGCAGGGATATCCGCGGTTTCGGAGCCCAAACACAAGGAGAGGGGGCCCGTGCAGGATGTAACACCTCAGGTGGGGTTGGGGTGGGTAGGGGTGTGCTGGAGGGGTAATGGCAGGGAGGGGTAATGGCGGGGAGGGAGGGTGTGGGGTAGCTTGTCTCAGGGGTTCCTCCGCCCGCCTCTGTTGACGAGGTGTGCGAAACCAACGGAGCCACTCAATTGAAACGGTGTCTGTGCGTGTGTGTTTTGCCCCTTGCCCCCCCCCCCGGTCCCCCTTGCTCTGCCCTAACCTGTTGTGTTGATATCTCTGACACACTCCTCTTGGGCCCCCCCGGGATTGTTCCCCGGCTGTGTCTGCTGCTGCTGCCTCCCTGCAGGACATTGGGTTGCCTCACCTGTTCGACTTGCCGGACGTGTTGTAGGGGAGGGGAAGGGGAAGGGGAGGAGAGAAGAGAAGAGGGATGGTTATGAAGGATATGATGAGAAGAGGAGAGAAGAGGGATAGGAGGAGAAGGAAGGAGAGGAGATACAGGGGAGGATGAAAAGAGGAAGGGGGGCATCTGGGGGCGTCTAGCAGTGGTGTTATTGAGCTGGGTACAGTCCGGGGTAGCTGGGTGGGGAAGGGGTGGGAAACAAGAGTGCGTAGGGGGGGTGGTAGTGGCAGTGACAACGGGTGGTGGCGGAGGAGGCAGTTCGCAGGTCCTAGCAGCGCACACACTTGCATCCAGGTTTCTGTTGTGTTAGGGTTACACCCGAAGACAAGAGAGAATCCATTAGGGAGAGAGATAGAGACAGGTGTTGAATGAAAAGTAGGCGGGTTTGGGTTTGGTTTCGATGCGTAGGGAGGAATATAGGTTAGTCGAGCCTGAGGAGTATTTGCTAGGGAGTAGTCGGTAGCTACGATAGCCGGATAGCCAGGATAGGGATACCGGTACCGGTACCTCTGTTCCTTATTGTTAAGTAACATTGTTTTCGCAGCGCTACAAAAGCATGTTTTCTGGAAGCGCTACAAGAGAGGTGGATAATGTGTGTCGTACTGCGTAGGGATGAATCTGATGTGCTGGGCTGCCGTACATGCCGGGCGCGTACGTGCTGCCTTGCTGTTTCAATCTACACATGCATGCATGCTGGTTCATGCAGTAAAGTTGGCCTCCAAGAGCAACAACTGCAAACGTGCCAGGGCTACATCAAGGCGTGTGGCAATGAAGCGGTATCAGGGCACTACTCTCTCTTGTTTAGGAAGACAAGGCGGGAGCTGCTGCTGCACACGCGCCAGCAGAGTTACAACATCACTGGCGGTGCGACCCATGGGTCATGTTTCCCAAATCCCAAAGCAACGCAATACGGGTAGTCTCGCGCCGCAAAGCAGTGCAAGTGGCCCTATTCCTCGTCACGCCGTTCCTCTCACCCCGTTGTTTGCTTTGCTGCAATCCTCACGCCAACCACATGCACCGTTCCCAATTTCACACGGCGATCATCATATGGTGGGAAGCCACAGATGCAACGTGTCGGGGCGGTCCATGTTTCAAGGCTGGCACAAGCTGGGAGCAGGGCTGGGCACTAAGGACCAAGGCTACGTACTAAGGCTTCGAAATACGGTACTGTTCCTTGCTGTTCCTTGCAAGTATACTCGAACGCGCCAATCGCACGCAACCGACGGCTCCATGTGCCGCTCACGTGCTCCTCAATTCCCATCTAGGTTGCTAACGCTCGAATGTGCGTTGGCACTTGGCAGGGAAAGGGAGTCTTCTCGATCGCCTGCACAAGTAACGGTATTCGCCAAGTTCAGCTCCTCCTTCGATCCTTGCATGCAACCCTGCTGAGCACTGCAACACCTAAAAACAACCAGCTCCAAAGGCACTACTGCGATGACGCAGTCGAGAAGTCGTGGCGCCAGTAATCGGTTGCAATCCACAGATGGATACCTTCCTCGCCACCAACCTGGTACACTGCCATCGAAGCGACCGGGCTTCCAGCTGCTCCAGGGAAGGCCTGCTGTTAACCTCAACACCGCCACACATAGAAATGGGGCAGTTTGTACCTCATAACGCTCAGGCTCGGCTGCAACCTGACAAAGTCTGCCCTGCGTTCTTCCATCCATTGCACGGTCGATCGGGCAATCAGTGGCTCCCTTGGTATATACTTTATCAATATAAAAGCGCTGTGCAGTCGGTGAGCCGCTATGAGGGCGGCAAGACGTTCTGGCCGCCACGCCGGCGCTAATGCGCTGCCGTTGTTGGCGGTTGCGTCGCTGCTCGCATCCTTCGCCTTCGTGCAACTGCCCGGTGTAGGTGGGTACGTATGTAAGCGGTACATTGCACATTTAAATGCAATAAATACTGGTTGTCAATATGCCGTGGACCGGAATCCGTTTGTGAAGCGGGATACGGCTGCCTAAACTGGCAATGGCACGGATCGCGACGTGGCAGTGCGAGACGTTTCCTGCCGTTGTCTACTGTCTTGCACTACTGTGCCTTTATAATATTGATTGTGCGGCATCACTCAGGTTTGGACCGTCCTAAACACAAAGCGCGTATTGTTTGTCTTGACGTCGCAACAAGCGTTGAACACCTTGCGCTTGTCACTTCGCACCTTGGCATGCGTTCGTCTGGTTCGTAACAATGCTCGGACCATGCCTGTCACCTCGCTCGAACTGCTGCAGGCGCCGAGCCAGGCTTTACGCTGTCGACTGACGCTGGCGTTGATGGGTGAGTGCGGTTGTGCGTTTCCCCATGCACTCAGCCCCTCGTTACGTACAGCTATGTTTACGACACCTATGTTTCACGTTTCGGGTCTCCGAAGTGCTTAATCAGGCACCACCTGTCCTGGACCCGGAGTCCTACTTGTGGCATGGTAGTGACATGACGACGCTTGATTTTGTGATGGCAGGGTGTCGACGCATGGGGTATTCGTATTGCCACTTGCCAAAAATACAGCACTCTTACTTCCCTCCGCCCATGCAGATATGGACGTCATCTGCAGCAGGCAGCTGGCATGACGGCCAACATGACCGCCCCTGCTGCTGCTGGTATGACCCCCCCGGCCGCTGCCGGCATGACCTCCCCTTCTGCTGCTGCCGGCATGACGGCAAACATGACCGTCCCTGTTGGCATGATGACCAACATAACTGCCCCTGCAAACGTGACAGCCGCTAGCAGGTTAGCTAACAGGGGTTGGGGTGCAGACGGGCTTTCATGCATGCGGGGGAACCGATGGTTAGGAAGGGAACTTGCAGGGGGCAAAATGTGGGATGGGGTATGGGATTGAGGGTCAGAAGAATATGCCGCAATTACCGTTAACGACATAGTCGGCACGACGCCATACTAGCGTAGTGACGGGAATACAAGCAGTTAACACCTATCTACCGGTAACCCTGCATGCGTCCTGCCTGTATGCAGGCTGGGCGGACGTCACCTGCAGCAGGCGGCCAACTTGACCGGAAACATCACTTCCCCGATGAACGCAACGGGTGGTGCCAGGTCAGGATGGGGCATGCATGTGGGCATGGGGGTGCGTAGCTTGCTTGCTGGGGAAAGTGTGAATGTCAACTGGTACACGTAATGTTTGATCGTCGTACATCTACCGTCGTCGGAGCAGCATCACTCGCGTTGTTCCAAGCAGCTCCGACACCTAACCCTGCATGCGTCCTGCTGCATGCAGGCTGGGCGGTCGTCATCTGCAGGGCGATGGCAACAGGGGCCGTGACGGCCGCTACGACGGGGTGAGTTTCGCGGGGGCAGATACATGGCGGTAGCTTGGTTACAGACCTTGGAATAGACAGAGCTTGGGACGGGTTTGCGCGGGCATGTACAGCGGCCTTCGTTGCGGCATCGTTAGGGTAGGACGCCCTGCGTTCGCATTGCCCGGGTACTATGTTGCATACGACGGGTAGCAGCCAAATGCGTTTAGTTGCCGTACATCTAACAATTCTTGTCGAAACCCGACATGCCTTGCCGTAACTGTACCCAGCAGAGGAACTACGACAACAAGTACGACAACCGAAAGTACGACAACTACGAGCGCAAGGATGGGCGCTACGACAACTACGAGCGCAAGGATGGGCGCTACGACAACTACGAGCGCAATGATGGGCGCTACGACGACGGCCGCCAGGGCAGGGATGAAGGCCGCCAGCAGGGCAGGAACGACGGCGGCAAGGGCAGGGAATACGGCGGCAAGTGAGTGTGGGTTGGCGCGTGACGTCTGCTACAAGGACGATGGTTGTGGTAGCAGGCAGTGGACGCGCTAGGTCATTGCCCGTACGGTTGCGGTTTTAACAACACTCCTCACGCATATTTCTTTGACACCACCCCACCGCACCACCCATGCAGCTATGGACGTCACCTGCAGCAGGCCGGCAACATGATGGTGAATGTGACCTCCCCTTCTGCTGCTGCCGGCATGACCTCCCCTGCTGCGGCTGGCGGCATGACCTCCCCTGCTGCGGCTGGCGGCATGACGGCAAACATGACTGCCCCTGCTGGCATGATGACCAACATTACTGCCCCTGCAAACGTGACGGCCGCTAGCAGGTTCGCTAACAGGGGGTGGGGTGCAGGCGGCCCGGGGAAACCGATGCTGTGTTTGCGCTGGCTGGGGTGCAAGGGGAGTAGCGAACGAGTATGTGATAAGGTGTGGATGCCGGGTGGGTGGTGCACTTCAAACTTAATTGTCGTGCATCTACCGTCATCGGGGCAGCACCACTGAGTGTCGTTACGACAGTTCCGATACCTAACCCTGCATGCGACCGGCCTGCTGCATGCAGGCTGGGCGGTCGTCATCTGCAGCAGGCAGCCAACTTGACCGGAAACATCACCTCCCCGCTGAACGCAACGGGTGGTGCCAGGTCAGCAGGATGGGGCATGCATTCGGGATATGGGGGTGCGTCGCATGCCTCCCAGGGGGTGTGTGAATGTCAAGTCGGTGGTACACTTGGTTATCGTACATACGTCTTCCCTCAGCACCGCTGGCGTTGTTCCAAGCAGACACTTAACCTTGCATGCGTCGTGTCTGATTGCAGGCTGGGAGGTCGTCACCTGCTGGGCCGTGACGGCGGCTACGGCGGGGTAAGTCG